CTCTCTCTCTCTCTCTCTCTCTCTCTCTCTCTCTCTCTCTCTCTCTCCTGTCACACCCAGCAGATATGTGGCCCCATAAAGTCCTTACTTACTCTGACATTTCATCTACCCAGCCTCTTTGCCCTCTGGAGGCTGTGGCTGGCAGCTGGTTTGGAGAAGTGCAATGGGAGACACAAAGCATATACTAACTTCCATTGTGACAAAGTGAGACCCTAAAGGGGGTCTTGCTCCATGGTTTCCATACTCCATGCAGGTACCCACCCCAGAAGCTCTGAGATAAGGCACATCCAGATCCCACCACGGCTTTGCCACACCCTGCTGTGGAACTCAAACAACATTGGGCAAAGCAGCACCATCCATGCCAATGAACATGGCAAATGGTTTCAGCACTCAGCAGGAGGTGACTCGTGAGCAGCCAATCAGTAGACTTTTTGTATAAAACAATATTCTTCAAGATAGCACAAGATAGCACAAGAAGTACATTTTTCTGTGGGTGGAGGAGGGGATTTTAGTTGAACCAGTTTGGATATTCAAATGCAGGCCATTTCCACTCTTAGATTCCCAATGCTATCCTCTAGATCCTTTCAGGGCGTTGCAAGGCATAGCTAGACTCACAGACATTGGTAATACCTGACTCTTTGTCCTGGAGCCAGCACACAGAAAGCAGGGCCAGACTGAGTGGTATGTTCTCTACTCTGGCTGAATGTTGGCTGAAATGGAGGTTGACTGTGGAAAAGCCTGAATGGAAAGAACTTATGTGCCCTCTTCTCTCACCTCAAGCAGCCTGTGGCATTGAAGAAGACCTCGGGGTCCACTACTTCCCGGGACATGTTGCTGTTACCATCACACCAGCCAGAGAAAGGAATGATGACCCGGTCAGTCAGAACGGGCAGGGCATCGGCCACCAACTCCTCCTTCAGCTCGTCCGTGGAAGACAGATTCCAGAGTAGCCCTGGATACAGACATGGTCAGCTCAACACATGGCAGGCTCTGAAAACCTGAGGTACCTGAGTGGTACTGCCCTGAGTCTGGGCTCTAGCAAATGGCTCCCTTCCAGGTAGGCTTGGCCCATCAGACCCATTGTCTGACTTCCTCACGATCCTGTTCTCAATGCCTATGTTGACTGCAGGTTCTTTGAGGTCTGAGAACATCTCAGAGTTCTGTCTAGGAAAGAGTTATGCACATGAACAGCTCCTAAAATACAGTCGATTGATCATCGGTTTTAAACATACGTTTTGGAACTTAGAACTGCTTAATGCTCTCTGTTTCCTATTTGAAACAATACATGGAAAATATCAGCCATGGGAGTGGGTTTGTTACTCTGAACATTCTTGTCTTCTTCAGTCCAATTCAAGGTCTTCATGGTGGCTTCTCCATCCTGTATCCTACCTTGAGTGCCTCATGTACTTCATGAACACAGAGTAAGTGTAGTATAGACAGCCATCCTTTGAGATCCGCTAACCCTGACCCATTGGCTTTGCTTTCCTTCTATTGTCTGCAAATCTCAGTGCCCACTACATAAGGCTCCTTCCCTCACACCCCAGCCTTGAAGATGCCTTCTGAAGGGTGCCACCACTTCAACTGAAGCCAGTGCCACTGAGCTCCTGAATTGAAGCTCGGTGAAACCCACACAGCTGTGCCTTGACCTAGCCTAGAAGGACAGGTTAGAGACACACCCTGCCACCTTGTTCATTCCCTACCCCAGTTTCCCGTCTGTAATACCTTACCAGTCAACTGTTTCTGGATCTCCGTGCTCCCGCTTCTCCTCAGGAGGCTAACAGCCTCACGGATCCCGTTCTGCCTCCTGGTCTCCAGCTTATTGGTGGTGCTCCTGAATACCAGGTTGCGCAGGGCCCCGGCAGCAGCCTGCTGGACATTCTGATTGGGGCTACGGAGAAGGTCCACCAGCTTGCAGATGCCCCCCAGCTGATAGACCTGCCAAGAGAGTTGTCACATTGATTGTTTAAAGGGAGGATGAGACAAATTTTCTTTGCTCAAAGTAACTGATTCTAAGACAAAAAGAAAAAGAAAAAAGAAAAAGAAAAAAATCAGTTCAGAAGCACACAAGTCAACCACAAACAAATACAGCAATGAGGTTATGGTAACTGACCCAGACATGAAACCCAAAGACCTGAATTCAGAGCCCAGCTTCCTCCTATCTTACTTAGGCCCCTGAGCAAGTCTCTCCTCTGTCTAGAGCATAGTGAAGGCCAGATGAGAAGATGTACCTGCATTCACTTCAGAGTCCTAAGGTGAGGCACACACACACAAGGTACCACAGAAACTCTTGTGGTAGAAATTTTGATGAAAACCACCCCAGACTTCTAGAAAGCCATTTGTGGTACACATAGCTGTACTATATGTCTTGTAGGTGTTTTCCTAGCTGGCCAATATGGGTGGGGTCATAAATGAGCCCTGTTTTCACTGAGGGAAGGGCCTGGGAGGGAGGGAGTTGAGGGCTGGGGAATAGTCATATCCTTTAGTGGAATCTGAGGAAGTGGGTGTCACTGAGCCCTGGGACTCTTCTATAGTTGCTGTGGATCATAATCCTCCCACTAGAACAGCCAGTATTATCATCTTCATTGGAGCAGCTGCAACTGCTTGGTAGAGACCCCCAAGATTGTGTTTCCTGAGGGCTGGGGCGATGGGTCAGTGGGTAGGGTAGAAGTGTTTGTCACAGATCCTGATGATCTGAGTTCAACTTCTAGGATGTACACAGTAGGTAGGAGAACTCACACAGTAGGAGGACTGAATCCTGACAGTCGTTCTCTGACCACATCATAAACACACACACAGTAAAATAAATGAATAAATAAATAAATAAATAAATAAATAAATAAAAGATCTAGGAGGCGGGGATGGAGAAAATTATTAAATCTTTACTTGGGAGTCCAGCTACTTCTTCCCACACCCCCTCCCAGAGATACATAATTCTTCCCAAGCTGCACAGGTCTCAGAGGTAATAGAGTATATAAAATGTGCAAAGTTAGATGAAGATTGGGGAACTCCATCTATGTGTCTACGCTGGGATGAGACTTTCTTTGGGGTCACTTGCACATCTGTAAGTTACAAACTATGCTCTGTAAATACGCCCAATACACTCATCCATATGTCAGCTTGTGCATTGGTGGGATTGGTTTTCTGGTCTGTCACTGGTATACTATCAGGGGTGAACAGCTGTTTATTTTATATCTCTCTAGGAAAAGTTCACATAGCAATGGCCAGTAGGGGAGATGCACCCAGTGGAAGCCCACTCAGGAGGCATTCCTCGGCAGGTTAAGATGAAGCTCTGACCTTGCGAGGGCAGGAATACTCCTTATGCCAGTGTCTGGGAACCAACTGCATGTGCTTCTGTTCCTCTCCAAATGTGGGGCCCAGGCTGACACCCTCAGGACCTATCAGCGAGGAAGGTATATGGCCTGTTACCTGTTGCTTGGCCGACTCATCCTGGAAGCAGGTGTGCTGGATGTAATAGGCCCCGATGGCCTGGTACTTCTCATCCTGGGAGCACAGGTACTGCACAGCCTTGGGGATGGTCAGCCCACTACACTCAATGTCCTCACTGCAGATCCTGGAAAAGTGAGGTGCAGGGTATTACAGGGTGAGCATGGGGACCCCCATGAGCAGGCTCTAAGTTCTTCCTTGTATACTCAAATACCACAGCTTCTAGCTGGCCTCTATGGAAGCAGAAAAAGGCAGGCTATCTTGAAGAAAGTCTTGTGAACAGCTCCCTACAAGGAAGGAAAAAGGCTGTGTGCTGACTTTCCCTCTCTTGGTATGAGATCCCTTAAGACCAAAGCAAGACAGTTACTTTCATTCTGTGCACAAACTTGGCCCTATTTCCTGAGATGAAATGACCCATCTGTCCTGCGGTTGCGTTCGTTCCTAGTCCTGGGAAAGTAAAAGACAGTGGCCTGTCTATTCTGTCTCTCCTTCCCTCCCCAAGTCCAGCTAGATGCTTGTCTGGTTGGTTGGTTTTCACTTTTTATCTTTTTAAGACAGAGTTTCTCTGTGTAACTGAACCCTGGCTGTCCTGGAACTCGATTTGTAAACCAGGCTGGCCTCAAACACTCAAACTCAATAGAGATCTTCCTGTCTCTGCCTCCCAAGAGTGGGGATTAAAGGTGTGTACCATCACTGCTTGACTTTCAGTTAGCTTCTTACACACACACACACACACACACACACTCTCTCTCTCTCTCTCTCTCTCTCTCTCTCTCTCTCTCTCTCTCTCTCTCTCTCTCTCTTACATCCTGTCTTTCTCATCCTGACACCATATTTGTCTGTGATCTGCTAGGATCTTTTATGGGGCTAGTGGTTAAAGATCCACTCCACCCAATATCGTACAGTCTTTGACTATGTCCTAAAATCATATCCACCTGATCATTCTACAGCTGAGAACTGTCCACAGCTTCCCCATACATCAGGTTCAAACCCACTGCTGAGACAGTCATTCAAGCGCATTCATTAGGTTGAACCACAACAAATGGCTATTAGTTCACCGTTTTAACTGAAGGTTTGGCTCCCCTGCAACCTCTGGCACATTCCCTAGACTCTGGCAAGAGTCTGTTGGTTGTAGCAAGACATCCTCAGTTCCAGACATGAAGGCCTAGCCCAGGCCTGCTGAGTCTCCCATCCAGGAAACCTTTCCAAGGAAGGGAATCCTCGGCTGGGAACTCCCTGAGCTCCCATGGTGTGCACCCACAAGGCAGCCTTTCCACCTGAGTGTGCCTTCCTTCCAAGCAGAGAAAAAAGGTCCCAGAGGGTAGAGACAGACCCTCTGTGGTACCCAGCCCTACCCACAATGTCCTCAGCATCTGCAGTGGCAACCCTCTCTTCACTTGTACTAGACTGATGCTGTGCCATAGCTGGTGCTCAAGGAATAGTCACAGTTTTAGCTAGGGTGATCCAACTTCATTTCTGAAAACTGTCACTCATGGGGCAGAGTTCTCTGGCCCTGGGCTAGTTGCATACCTGTTCTCTATTGAGGAAGCATTGCCTTATCTTCATCAGTCAAATGTCCCTTCTGCATGGCTTGTCACTCAATCCTAGACCTCCAGTTGGGGACAGGATGGTGCCATGATTAGACTCTCAAAGGGAGGATTCTGAGTCCTTTCACAAGTTATTCTAAATACAATCTTACATACTTCAAGGGGTCCACTTTTAACTGGATTATGCTTCCTTTCAGAACAGTGTGGGATTAGTAGGAAAGAGTACAGGGTAGAGAACCAGCTGTGTGGCCTTGGGCAAGCTTGTTGCTGTCTCTGGGCTTTGCCCCTCACCAGGGTCTGCCTGGAAAGGGATTGATTAGGAAGAACACACAGCTCCTTGGTCACCAAGAATGTGTTCCAGAGCTGCTCTGGGCTGTCAGCATGGCCGTGCCTCCTGTGCTCCACACAGGCCCTGCATGGAGTAGATGCTCCCTAAAGAGCTGCCAAATAAATGAGTAGCTGTTATTAGGTGATAAGAAACAGTGGAAGGCTTGTGTTGCTCTGAGCCTCAAAAGGTAGGCTCAGTGTTATTGTGGCCCCAAGGTACCTTCTGCCTATGGCTCTCTTCATAGTGGTGTGTGTGTGTGTGTGTGTGTGTGTGTGTGTGTATGAGAGAGAGAGAAAGAGAGAGAGAGAGAGAGAGAGAGAGAGAGAGAGAGACAGGCAAACACAGATAGAGAGAAAGAGACAGATAGAGACAGACACACAGAGAGATACAGAGACAGAGAGGTAGACACACAGACAGACATAAAGAGACAGAGAGAGGCAGAGATAGACAGACACAGAGAGAGAGAAAGAGGGGGGAGGGAGGGAGAGAGAGAGAGAGAGAGAGAGGGAAAGGGAGAGAAGAGAGAGAGAGAATTAGAGAGAATTATCTGGAAAGCTTGTTGGAACACACATTATTAGGACCTCTAGGTGTCTGTGTTGGGCCCAAGAATGAATATTTAGTTTCAAAACCTTATTTTATTATTTACATGCATGGGTTTTTTGCCTGCATGAATATCTGTGTACCACTGTGTACCACTTGCATAACTGGAAGCCAGAAAGGGGCATTGGCTCTCCTGGAACTAGCATCTCATAGATGGTTATGAGTCATAAACGTGGGTGCTGAGAATTGAACCTGGGTCCTCTGGAAGAGTGGCCAGTGTCGTTAACTGCTGAGCCATCTCTCCAACCCCAAGAACAAATATTTCTAACACATTCCCAGGTGCTGCTGATCAGAGAGACACAGTGTGGCAGCCATTCCCTGCTAATCTCTCTGTTGTCTCCCTCTGTTCATAGCTTGTGACCCTGGAGACCTGTGTCCACAATGACTGGCCTCTGTGGCTTTTTCACCCTGAGGGCTCCTCTAGGTCTGTGGTCCATCACACCAGAGACTCCTCAAGGTGGTAACAGCAAAGTCAGAACACAGGCTGAGCCTCTCCTCTCCTCCTTGGGAGTGAGCCAGGCTAGCAGACTGCCTCCCTCCCACCTGGCCCCACCACAGCCCTGCAGCACTCACTTGGAACTGGCCCTTGAGTGGCCAAAGGACAGGTCTTTGTTGCAGGAGATAGGTGGTACATACACCGGGTCTTGCTTGGAGGTGCAGGAGGGCGGCCGCACGGGACACTTCTTGACAGCCTTCTGGCCACTGCACGTGCTGTAAAAACTGTACCGGTTCTGGGTGGTCTTGTGGCCCTTGCTGCCCAGGGTGCCCTTGCGCAGTGTGCCTCTTGGGTCACAGTAGAGGTCAGGCTCACTGCGGCTTGCCTTGATTTTCTGCATGAAGCAGATGTCACTGCCGGCAGCACCAGTAGTGGCACAGCTTCCTCGGGGATAGTGCCGGCTCCAGTTCTCCATCTGACTGTAGGAGCTGAAGCGCCTGTTGTCGGGCTCCCGCTTGAGGGTCCCATTGTAGATCTAGACAGGAAAGGGATGAGAGGTTTAGTGTAGCTCTTGACTGGGAGCCTGGACCTAGCTGTCCACAAAGGTAGCTCTCCCTTGCCCCATTACAGTGTTCGGAGGATTTGGAACAATTTTCAGAGAAAGGAACCTTGGGCATTTTTTTTTCCAAATGCAGGTTGTGGTCCGCTGTGGAATATGAGATCATTTTAGCAGATATGCTCACCTTTATTAAAAGTATAGAATAGGGAAAAATAATTGGAAAACATACAATACAGAGTGCAGCACAATAGAGATAAAACCTGTTTTGTGCTACATTTTACACCATGTGTATGTCTAGTGTGGAAGAGGGCACCAGAAGCGGTTGTCAGAGTCCCTGGAACGCTAGTTACAGATGGTTGTGAGTCACTGTGTGGGTGCTGGGGATTGAACCCGGGTCCTCTAGAAGATCAGTCAGTGCCCTTAACTGTTGAGCCATCTCTCCAGCCCTTCATATAGACTTCTTATTGTGGGAATGTATGAAAGGAAGTTCTATACCACTGATCCAACCACATGGACAAAGTCTAAGATGGTGATGGCAAGCCAGAGAAGCGGGCTCCTCCAATAATCGCTCAGAATGAGCAGCTCCCACAGGCTTTTGTCTCAAGCTCTTGCCTTGTTACTCAGGTCACCCCACAAAGCAGCTTCCGACCCATCCAGCCAGTGTCAGCACTTGCACATGTTTGGAAATGCCGATTCTAGTTGAGCTGCTAGCTAGGGAGCCCCTGTGCACACAGAGGTGGTACAGGGTGGATGCAGGAAGACTTCTGGGCTGTGTCATCAGACCGGCTGGGAGAGAAGCAGAGCAGAAACTCAGCCAAAGGGAAAATGGACCGTGAACAATGAGACATCCCTAAGGGTCTTGTAAGCCCAACAGAGAGTGTATTTCTTTGGGAGGAGCGTGCAAAGCCACAGGCTTGGTGGGAATCAGCTCTGGTACTGAACTGTCCGAAGACTTTCCCAGACCCGTAAGCTGGCGGGTCTGGCCTGCTGGAACTTGTTCTCAGACACCAGGATCAACACTGAGCCTGATAAAACCTCCCCATACAGGTGCTGACTTGGGAGTCACCTTTGCTGGGATGAGCAGTGGCCAAGTCTAGCCCAGAGGCTGCCCACCCAACCCTAAACAAAGGGTAAAGAGAACAGAGGAAATGGGATCAAACTGTGTGCCTGCAGAGGAGGGTCCTGTGTGACCAGCAATTACCATCTACCCTGGATCTAGCCACACAGGACTAAGGAGGGGCTGATATTCCAGTTCCCCCAAAGAATGGTGCGAAGCTACTAGTTGGAAAGTGGTGTCCAAAACCAGGAAGCCGTATACAGTTAACCTTGGGGGTAGCAGGTACACTCCCTTCACCCACCCCAAGCGGGCACAATTTTCTTCCTCCAACTGGGTCAAACCACCCTGCCACACAGTGAGCTGGTCTGTGGGAGTTGGGAGAGACACAAACAATGATAAGGCAGAGGCTGGAGGAGCTGGTGGTTTTCTTGGCATTTGGAGGTGAACCGGACTCTTTGATGATTACATGCCAAATGTACTCCAGATCAGGCAGGAAGGTAGCAGATGGTGCTTTGGGAGATTGGGGGGGGGGGCAGAACACTCCCCATGGCAGGCTGGGCTTCCGAGGGGAAGACAACAGGAGTTCCCTTGTTCTCAGTAAGTGACACACCTGGACGTCATCTCAGACACCTGATGAGGAGTGCATATGCCCTCCTGGCCCAGACCCAGCAAAGACGCCATCCTGCTGATTAAGCCTGAGAGAAGTTCTGGTCTCTGCAACCCGTGCTGGGAAAAGGAGCAGCGGGCGGCTCTGGCAAGTCTCGGCGAGGTGGGCTGCCCCCAGGGAATGGGCGAGGACCCCTCTCAACCACCACACCCTAGCCGTGTCATTCATTCCTGGGAGCCCCACCTTAGTTTTTAAAGTCACAGCGCTGGGTTGTATGGATGTGACAGCTGGGAATGACTCTCTCGTGTCTTTCGCTGTCACTTTGGCAAGCAGGAGAAAACCTCAGCTGGACACTGTCCTCTCCTAACTCTATGCAGGTCTGGATACTCTCCAAGGTTCAGATAAAGCATCCTTACTGCCTCTGGCCCTGCCTGCCCATGTGGCCCATGATGGAGTCTTTAAGGCTGAATTGGCAGTGGCGTTGTGGGAATCCAAACTTTCCTTGAGCATATGCCTGAGAAGGATGTGTGACAGTCGAGAGGACTGGAATCACACTGTCTTGGTGGTGTCTCCTTGGGTGTAACCTGAGGCAAGGGGCTTAAAGCCAATATATCTGAGTTTCTCCAGCTGTATAACCAAGATCTTAATTGTTCATGACATAGACGATCATTAGACATCATTAGACTAATGTCTGTAAATTAGAACTGGACATAACACGAGAGCTTGGACCAGCTGCATCTCACACGGGCTGCCTTTCAGAGCTGGTGAGGTGCACATACATGCATGTGCACTTCAAGGATTCTGTCTCTGCCTCTCTAACGCTAGGATTATGCTTGTATGACATCATGCCAGTCCTTTTACATGGGCATTGGGGGATTCAAATGTAGGCCCACATATTGGCATGACAATAAATTTGCCGACTGACTGAGCTATTTCTCCATTCCCCTCTGCTCCCCCTCCCCCATCTTAATTTCTTAAGACAAGTTCTGTCACAGAGCATGGCACTCACGCACTCATGAGATAGTCTCGTTGGCTGATGAATTTTAGCAGTCTGCTTGCCTTTGTTCCCCCAGCACTGGCCTTACAGATGTGAACTGCTGTCTCTGGTTTTCAAGTGGGTCTAACCTCAGGTCCCCGTGCTTGTACAGCAGGCACTGGTAACAGTTGAGTCATCTCCCCAGCCCCTAGCTGAGGGGTTTTAATAACCCACACCATTTCTAAAGAAGATTTTAGATAATCTATAAGGGAGACAGGCCCAGGAAGGAGACACCCAGTATTCAGAACCCCATGCTGAGCTCAGAGTGAATTCAGCAAGCTTTCTGCCAAGATGGAGGAGTCTTTCCTTACATGGGTGCTCCTACCATCTGGAGCAGGACACATCTTCATTGTCTGGATGTCCAAACATCACAGGATGTTTGTGGTGGCCTTGCCCCCGGGCTCCAAATGATAGCAATCCCACTCACCCCCATTTCCAAACACTGTCTCTAAGTTGTAAGCAAACAGCTGCAGCCAGAGGAGAATGAATGGACACCTGTGCCCAGAGCAGGTGGGAGAGCATTGCTGCCAATGCCTTTCCAGCCACACCCCCACACTCAGAGAGGAATCTGCTGGCAGCCTCCTCCTCTTTGAATACAAAGGGGACACACACACACACGCACACACACACACACATGCATGCAAGTGCGCGAGTTTGCATGTAAGACTATCTCATGCTTTCTTGGGAAACTCAAACTTCAGGTGGGATAGTCCATGAATCAAAACATTCCAGACTAGAAACTCAACTTCTGGGAGCAGAACTGACCATTTAGTCAACAGCCTGGGCTAGGTGGATAAGTTGAAGCCCAGAATTTGGGCACAGAAATATCCTTTCTCCACTTGTAACACTTGAAGAGTTCTAGGGAGGAGACTCTTGTGACCACAGTCCAAGGCAAGCCAGAGGAGACTGCGTTGGCCAGAAGCTTCCCCATAGTTACCCCATATTCTGTCCTCTCTTGTCCTAATGACACAGGAGAAGTTGTTAGGGGAGAGTCACCTGCTCAAAAAGGGAAGCCAGGCTTTGTGCTGGGAGGTGTTTGTTTCCTTGCATGGCTGTTCCTGCATCTGAGGAAGACACTTCTCCATTATGTTAGTGAAGCCCCCAGGTTGCTTAGTGGCTCTGCCTTTAAGACCCCCTGGCCCCCAAATGCTTTCTTTTCTTCTCTTCCTTTTCCCTGAAGAAGTGAGTCATTTCAACCCACATTGATGGTCCCTCTCCTCAGGCTCCTCCTTCAGCAGGAAGCTCTCAGGAGCCCACTAGTCCACTGCGCAGGCAAGGAGCTTGAGTTCTAGAGTGAGCTGGATCAAAGCAAATCAATACATTTCTTAAACTCCACTGGGCAGGACAGTAAGCAGCCATTCTGGACGTGGTGGTACCCACCTGACCACTGTTCTCTCTGCTTCCTTCTTTTGTATTGCTACCGATTGCACTGTGGCCCTAGCTTTCCTGGGCACCTCCTAACTCCTCCCACCAGCCCCAGGGTCCCCCTGGCCCCGCCTCCTCACACCCTCACACCCACCTTTCTCAGGCAAAGCTTCCATCAATCCCAATCTTGCACAGAGCTTACTCTACCTCTGCTATTTACCAGGCATGCATATCAACTTGACCCTACCCCTCTAGCCTCCTATCCCCTCTAGTCTCTTCCCTCCTAATGCTCGCTCTCACAGTCCCACAACAGCAGATACACTCTGGCCACCTGCTTCACCTGCTCTCTGCCCACCTTTCAAACCCCACATTTCTCTCAAGTATCTGCTCAAACCTATCATCTCCACGAAGTCTGTTCTGCCCCTTCCTGGCCCTAGATGCCCACAGCTGGACTCCTTCAGCCACACACTCAGTCTCCCCTGGTCTTGTCTGTTCTCTGGTTACCAAAGTAGGGTTCTCTTATTCCTCCAAGCTTTTCAAACCAAAGGCATTTTACTGTGCTCAGCACAGGGCTGGGTTCCCAGCATGCACTGGTGGAAAGGAGAGGAACCGCTGCTCTGGAGAATTTCTCCTGGGAATGGAGACTTCAGTTGCTGATGAGCACTGGGTTCCTTATGGCCTCCTTGCCCAGGGCTCTACCACAGATGAAGTGAACTGGATGAGGATAGAAGGTGCTCTGAGTGGGGCAAGACAGGCGGCACAGCCTGAGCTCAGCTGAGGTTCAGGACACGTCCCTTTACCCTGTCCTGGGACATAGCTAATACCTGGATGATCTCAGAAAGTTCTATTTCAGTTCTGCATCATAACCAGACAGAAACTGCCTACCTCTTTGGGAGCATTGTATGTGCTAG